GTAAGATTCTGCTGTTTCTAACCAAACATTCTCTTATGATTAAATCTTTGATAGAAATGCTGTATGCTCTGTGCAGATACCAGAAAAACCTCAATAGATCTGGTTAAAACATGCAACAGTATAAAATCAATAGATGCCAACATTCTTCACAGGTGTGAAAGTCAAAACAGTTTGCATTTAAAAGAAAAAGATGGATATAGCTCCCATTAGAATATAAACTGGCCATGAAAATATGGACCATACTGTACTAGACAGAAGAAGATATTAGTATAAAAAGGGTAAAAAATAAATTGTACTTAATTTATTCATTTAGTATTTAGCTTGATAACCACATACTACAAACAACTTTTCACCTTCAGCTAGTCCTCAGTGCGTTTACTGTCTTGTGAGCAAACGGAGCTGGCACTCACACAGTTTCCAGTGCATTTTGTCCTTAGTGAAGGAATGAGGGATGCAGGTTTTGAGTTAGAAGGTTCTGGAATTCCATCCCGAAAAATCAGCAGATTTCTGAGAATTCAACCAGTGCAATTGCCATAGACATGGAGGTGAAGGGTGAGTTTCACAAGGAGGACTTGGATCCTGAAGTGCAATTGGCATTGACAAAATTCCTGCTCAGCTCCTGCCTAACCTTGGAGGTGTCTACATTTCCACCAGTAAAGGGTCCTGAGGTGCCTAAATGGTGGCATCTGGACATGCACTTAGCTATTAAGTCTTGAAACTGCCCAGTAGCTCAACACTTAACTCATGCTTAAACCCCAATGGGATTCACAAATTAGGCATTCTCCATGTACAGGTTGCCTTCAGGGCTCTGTTCAGTATGCAAACCCTGGAAGAGAAAGGTTAGCAATGCCCTTACGTTACAACTTCTAGCTCAGTGGTTAGAATGTGGGACAGCTGGGTTCAAATTCTACCTCTTCTTAATTTAGAGCAGGGATCTGAACTTGGCCTTATACCTCCTAGGTGAATGTGCTCACCACTGGGCTAGAGTCTCTCACTCTCTCTGGTCCAAGCAATATTTAACTATTTTTATACAATGAAACAGCTTCAACACAAGGCACAGAGAAACTCACCTCACCATATCTCAGAGCACAGTGATTGGGACACACTCCTGAGAAATGGAGACTCAACATCAACTCCCTCCTCCACATCAAGCGGAATGGAATTTGAACCAATATTCCTGGTAACCTGAGCATTTCAGTAGCTGCTCAGGAGAGATTCAAATGCCGCATAGCTGATTAGCAGAGCACCCACAGCTAGGGGTTTTTTCTTCCTACCAGTGGTGCACATAGGCACATGCCTCAGTGCACACAGAAAAATGTATTCTGCACACAGATAGAAAAGATTACAGGGAACATTAATGTGAACCCAGGTCTCCTGCATCTCAGTGAGTGCTTCAGCCACTGATTTTAAGACAATAAAGGGAAGAGGCCAACCTCCACCTTCTTATTTTTTCTTGAAAAAGAAGTGACGTGGCTTAGGCACCAAACTCCAGGGCAGATTCACCCTTAGGTGAACCTTTAGGAGCAGAGGATACCTCCCTCTGGCCTGAATTTGGTCAGCTAAGTCCCTTTGAGAGGCAAGAGTTAGACTGCACCTCTCCTCCTGCCTCACTTAGGTAGGTCCTACCTCTGCATGCTGGTATAATGCTGACAGGTGGAACTGAACCTAGGACCTCTGGAGCTTAGTGCATGAGCCTCTAACACTTGAGCTAACGGCCAGAGGGCTCTCAACTAAGGCTATAGCGCAAACTCATTCTCTCTTGCTGTAAATGCTCTAAGTGCCCTACACAGCACAGTGAACCATACCCTGTAGGTTACACTGACTTTTATGAATCCCATTCTTAGGCCAACTACTTCCCTTAGGCACAATACAGGGAACCTGGACACCTAACTCAGGTTTGTGAATTCCACTAGGCAGAAGGACACTTACAATGTAGACACTGTGTGTAGGTCTACATGGCCACTGGAAATCCACAGCTGGCCCAAGTCAGCTGGTTCAGGGTTGCTGGGCTCAGGCTGGGGGGCTGGTTAACTGCAAGAGCCTAGGTTCTGGAACCCTGAAAGATGGGAGGCTCCCAGAGCTTGGGCTGCAGCCACAGTTGGGATGTGTTCACTGCAATTAAACATCCCCACAGGCCAAGTCAGCCATGGGTGTCATCTTGCAGTGTAGACATACAGGGCCGACTTATCCATTAGGCACAGTAGGCACAGTGTCTAGGGCCCACAACACATTTAGGGGCCCACAAAAATGTTTTAATTTCTTTTAAAATCAGAAGGAAAAAAATGAACTTTTAGGGTCGAAGAAAATATTTTAATTTTTTTTCTCACATCAGAAAAAAATTAAACTTTTAGGGCCCACAAAAATCTATTAAATTTTGCCTAAAACAGAAAAAAAAAAAATGGGGAAGTATTTAAGGTTATATCAAAAATAATTTTTAATATTGATATTATTATGGTGGGAGGGGCCCACAAAGGCAAAAGTGCCTAGGGCCTACGAAATTCATAATGAGGCCCTGTAGACATACAGCGCAATGCAGGGCAATTCAGTCCTCAAGCCCGTTCCCACCTGTGGTGCTTTTAAACTTCCTGCTGGTGCCTTAACAACACAGTTTCTTAAGGACAATGGAGTAAAGACTCCTCCAAATAGCTGATACTGTTGCCCCTGGAAACACAGCATGGGACTCGGTGAAACGTAATACTGATATAGGGCTAGCACTATTTTATGAGCCAAAGTCCTACAGAGGAGCATGTAAGGGCTGCCTCAGAGCTTGACCATCCTCCTCCAACACCCTTAGCTCTGCCTTCTTCGAAACTACCAAGACCGTTCAATTCCTCTTGGAGAGCTTTTCATGGGCCTGTATAAAGGTGGCAGTATCTGATGCTGAGGTGGATAGCATTCTATCTTTACATGCTCCCTTACCTAGAATAAGGATGTAAAATTCTTTTAAACCACTTAACCTGTTAAGTGTTATGTTTAACCAGTTAACCAGGACCCCACAGGTGGGTGGGTCTGGCCACAATAGACCAAAGTGTGGCAGGCCTGGCCTGTGCCGCAGCATGGGTGGGGGGCCGCTCCTGCCCAGCCAGGCCTGCTGCACTGTGGGCTGCTCCAGCTGGGGTGGGGTAGCTCACCCAGCTACACCTACACTACAAGTGCCCCCTGCCCACAGCATGGCACTGTGCACACAGCCAGGCTGGAGCAGTGCCCCCGCTCACAGCATGGTATGGTGGTTCCAGCTGGGCTGGAATAGTCCCCTACCCAAGCTGGACAGGGGGCTGCTCCAGCCTAGCCAGACAACCGGTTACCAAGTTACCAGTAAGCATCTCCCAGTAAGGCTGATGCTTACCGGTTAATTGGTTACATCTCTAACTTATATCTCCTCATTCTTTATCCCATCAAACACCCATAAAAACAAAAGCTCAGTCTGCTTTCATCAGTCACAGTTTTATTTCTTGCCACGTTGGAAATCTCTTATAGAAATGTCTAGATATAGCACAGCACAGCAAAAGTTTACACAAACTTTAAAAAACCCAGCCTCATCAGACCACTGTACATTTGGCATAGAACCAAGCCAGTATTTGTTCTGTACACTGGATGTGACAGTTATCATTGATTCATTAGGGAACTGTACAGCAGAGGGAAGTTTGTATGCTCTATTGATAAGGAAATAAAGCTTCAAATTTAGGACTATTTTCATAGGGTTAATTAGATACCAGGATCTTCTAAAATATCCTGAAACGTTTCGCCCCAGGCCAAGCTAAACTAAATCACTTAATCTAGGAAGGTACACCATATAAAAACAAAACTTAGTTTATAGAATAGTTTCCCCAGGGAACAAACAGATTGTTTTGGGTGTGTGGGGGGGAGGGGGGGAGGAGGGAAGTTTGCATTCAAGTGGAAGCCAAGTTTTGATGCAGTGACATACTCCTCCACAAAAGGCTTATATTTCCATAGACCCCACAAAGCTTATCAGAAAATCAAAAGTCTGTAAGCACCCAAAGCAAGTTCAGATCAACCAGAAAGACAGCTGTATGAAAAGTCCCTACTGTTCAAAAGAAAAAGATCATAAGAAACAATTATAATAATTACTTCACATACGTATCAAACATATAATAAAACACCAGACTCAAGTTTTCATTTACATACAGTAGAATTGTTTTACTAAATTATTGCTGTATTAAAATCATACCCTCATTAACCTGGTGGTTTTTTTTGGAGAGCATTTTTAAAAATCTATGAACTCATCACTCGTGGACTTTGTCTCCTTCCTGCTCTCTAACACTCACAATAAACTCAATTTCCATCTTTATGTCATTTCTTTTTCTCACTTTATCTTCTGCTCTTTGGTCCTCTCTGTCCCCCTGCCTCCAGACAAACGCTGGTCGGAGGGTTTTTTCCCCTTTCACTCTCTTTCCCCAAAAGTCTACCCCAACTTTAAATTCCGTCTTCTCTCCTCCCCATACTTTCCTCCTAGGCTTCATCACCTCCATTCTCCTCATTTTCCAATCTGGCCAAGTATTAGCCCAAAATGCTTCCTGGGATCTGAGCTTGGATTGCCGCCCCGCCCCCCTGATCATCCATGCCAGACCAGTGTGGAAAGTCACTGCTGATGTCACTTGCTTTGATCAGGCATGAAATAGTCAATTTTAGCATTTAAAGCAAAATACCCCTTGAGATAAAGGTGGCCACTGCAAAATTCTCAAAACTATTGTTTCAGACATGCAGTATGATAGGTCTTAATGCATCAGTTTCCACACCTGGACAATTATTGTGGCAACTCTGAAGGCTTAGGAGACTTTTTAAATGTTACATGTTTTGGTTTTCCTTCATACAATAAAAGATGTACCATAACAATTTCAGTTATTAAAACAAACGCAAACATACATACAATATAAAGCCAAATTTATTTTTAGCTTTATGTTGTAAGATATCAGAGGAAAAAAATCTTAAGAAATGATGGGACGATGACAAGGAAAATAGCATGGCTGGTACTCACCTACCTGTGGCTATGGCTATGGCTATGGCTGCTCTGCTGTTTTTTTGCAGAAGAGGATATGCAAATTGCGCTCTCATTTGCATATCTTCTTCTGATTCTTTTTACAGAAGAGATTTTGCTGCTATAAAGCCCCATGTGGACGGTGCCATTTGTCAGAAAAAAAACCTCTCTCACAAGATCCCTTATTCCTCAAAAATTGAGGTTTACAGGATCCTGTGAAAAAGGGTTTTTTCTCTGACAAATAGCCCCATTTACATTGGGCTTTTTATTAGCAAAACCTCTTCTACAAAAACAATCGTAAGAAAATATGCAAATGACAGCACGATTTGCATATCCTCTTCCACAAAAAAGCGGCAGCATAGACCTAGCCTGTGTGTGATATTTCTTTTATCATGCAACAAAGACATCAGTTTATCACTGTTTTAGCAGGCCCTTCATCAGATCTCCCAATAAATATCAGCTTCCCACAGTGATATGTCAGATACGTTTCGCAGTAATAAGGCCAGAAGATCTCCCAATAAATATCAGCTTCCCACAGTGATAAGTTTCGTAGTAATAAGGCCAGTTCCCAAAAATACTGCCATGAACTAAACCAATTTGACCAGACTTTCCTAAACTATTTGATTAAAGTAAAAGTCCAGAGTTATTTTAATCCTGTAGAAGGACTGAAATGAAAACAAGTAAAAATGTGGACATGATTAATGTGAAACTTGAAAAACAAATTTTAAAAATGCCTTAGGAGATGTCTGATATTTCTGTTATCTTCTTTTCATGGAATCCATTCTACAGTAGATCACAAGAGTATCTCAACTGTCCTAATTCTCTAAATTTACAGCTTCTATCACCAGCACAAGTTAAAACTGCATTATCCTCCCCGCATCTCTCATACTGAAACTCTGAAACTAAAGTAATAGGATTACATCATAACATATCATGTCCCACACAAGCATGCAAAAGATGCAACTCATTGCTCGTATCATAAAAAACATGTCTATATGCAGACGGATCATACCTTTAAACACAACCTATATTTCACAATCAAAATACCACATGGACATTTTCAGTGGTTTTGAGAGACCGAAGAAAGTTTAGAGGAAACAAACTAAAGTAATAGGATTACATCATAACATATCATGTCCCACACAAGCATGCAAAAGATGCAACTCATTGCTCGTATCATAAAAAACATGTCTATATGCAGACGGATCATACCTTTAAACACAACCTATATTTCACAATCAAAATACCACATGGACATTTTCAGTGGTTTTGAGAGACCGAAGAAAGTTTAGAGGAAACAAAGGGAGCGAAAAGAACACGACAAATTTAGAAATGCAAGTCTATTAGCTATGTTGACAATTTCTAAATTTTTTTCAATCCTCCATTTTTTTGATAGCCAAATTATTAAAAAAATATAACATGAAAGATACAGTTCTTGAACAGTTTCTAATTTCTATACTATAGTGCCACTAACTCGAATATATACAGTGTGTTACATGGGCTCAATCTACTCTAGACATAGAACAAAACAGCCCTTTTGCATCCATTACAATCAGCACAACAATATATCTTAGATGCCAGCCAGGAGGTTTTCCACATAAAAATGAACTCTTTTTTAATTGCAAACAGTTAGATGTGCAATGAACATATCCAAAATGGTTGATCTTCTCAATTTCTGGCATATTCTTATGAAGGCTGACTGCACCAGAGTTAAATCAATCACTTGAAATTAACAGATATAAAACAAAGATACTACTACCGAACTGGATGGGCTTTGTGAGAATTAACTTGGACTTCGTAGTCTGAGCTAAATGCTTAAGGAAAAAAAAATCCAGAGAATTAAGGGCTAAAGTCTGCTCTTACTTACGCACTACTTCTGACTCATTGAAGTCAATAGGATTGCACTGGCGTAAATGGAACCATACTTTTGCCTATAGATTTCTAAAGCTTCAATAGCAAATAGTGGGCTCCTTAATTTAAGATAGTTAAGTACTTTAAAAACACCAAACCCACAATCTAAAGTTTTACGGGGGGAGGAGGAAGTTCATATGTAAGTTTACTAAAAATATTTTACCCAACCACTTTTTTTTTTTGGAATGTAAAATAGATACTTTCAAAATATGAACAGAATTACATTTTTTCCTAATTTTAGTAACCTTCAGCTACTATAACTCCACTTCAAATCCTAGAAAAGAGTCTAGAGACAAATATTAGCCTAGTACAGGATAGCAAAGAGGAAGAACAAAATTACATTTCAAGGCAAAACTGTATTTTAATTAGTGTTACCTGGTACACCTGCACAGTAGTCACCTTCAGTGTAATGAGAGAAAAACTGTTACACTCCACACACGTCTGTTTTGGCTGCCACTGCAAAGCACAGAAGTTGGAGCTACAGCAGGAAGGGGACAGGAAGGTAAAACTGGTGTCAAGTCACCCTAGTGCCAACTTTATTTTCGGACAGCAAACTAACTTTCAAACACCTTTATATGACTGGGCCATATGCTGCTCTGTAGCCCTGAATAACCAGTGTTCTCTCCCTTTTCCATCCCCCATGGAAAGCCCTGCATTGGGCGAAATCTCCAAGACACTAATTCTATCCCACTTTTTTTTTTTTTTTGGCTAACCAAGTGGCATCAAGAGGCTGTTGCAGTGGATAGAGGCTGTCCCAGGCTGCATTTATAGCAGCTATATTCCATCATAAAAACTCTTGAGATGCCAATGATGAAAGAAATTCCACTATACCATGGAGGCATGGTGCTGGACCAGTGTCCATACACAAAACTGCATTTGCACAACAATCCAGCAAGGCGATGAGGTTACAGGCTCAGCAACAATACCTAAGCCTATGTATTTGCATCATCTAAGCAAGCAAGATGATGCCACAGACATCACAGAGGGCTGATGCAGACACCAGAAGGAAACATGAACCTTGAAATTTGCCCAGCAAATTAAGAGATCCTCTAATCCTGTCCCCTGATGTTAGACCAACAAGCTACAAGCCCCAAGTCAGCAAGACTCCTGCCTTGACATCAAATCAGCTACCTACATTAGCTGAATCAGTGGACCCCCACCAAAGCTATCCTATAGTTGTCATCTCAGTGCAGTAGGCTGTAGCTGCTCCACCAGCAGAACTCCACTCTGAAGTTCAGAGGTGTATACTGACATCAGATCTGCATGCTACAGTTGCCGATAGGTACGTAAAATCCCATTTAAAATGTTAACCAGTTAAGCTATAAGTTTACCTTCCTCCTGTGGCATGCCACAGGGGAGAAGGTCTGCTGGAGCAGCCCCCGCCCACAGCACAGTGGGCCTGTGAGGGGAGGTGGAGGGCTGCTCCAGCCAGGCTAAGTGGCAGTTAACCAATTACTGGTGAGCATCACCCAGTTTATATCGCTAGTTGCAGAGTCACAAATCTTACAGCCACCATTTCCTGACATCAGCCAAGCAAGCCAGATGTGGCAAGTCAGTGACAGAAGCTTATACGTTGACATCAGTCCAGAAAACAAGAGGCCCCTGAGCTAGTAATTAACACAGAGGGCTGTGCCTTGTCATCAGCCCAGCAAGCTAGAAGTGTGGAAGTTGTAACCTTTTCACAAACTAGTGTAAAAACATGAGAGCCTGCTTGGGATCCAGTTACCTAGGGATAGGGCATACTGCCACTGTCAAAATTGACTAGGGGCATAAGTGCTCAAGCTTGTTCTAGAAGACAGGCAGTTGCCAGCATGGCACTCTCAGAGATGACTGTAGAATTTGTTTCTTCCTCCTCTGTGTGAAATAGGTCAAAGGTCTATCTCATCAGTGCTTCCAGTTGCTAAGATTTATGAGCGTTGTGAGGTTTTGAAGGGAGATGACATGTACTATGCAATTTTAAAAATGACTAATGCATTTGATTTTGTTGTGTGTATGTTTGTGTTATGTTGCTGCATGGATTGTGGTTTTCAAAAACTTTCAAAAATCAGAAGTTGCACCTGTCCACACTTGATTTGGTCTCTGGGTGGTCCTGGCCAAGTGTTACCACCTTCCCTGACAGCCTTACCGGTGTGGCAATTTTTACATTCATCTCTTTTTAAGAAAGACACTTTATAATGATATGTGGGGTGATATTAGAGGTACTGCTATATCTCCACCCCATTATAACACCTAAAATACCTGACTCTGACAACTTTATAATGAATATGGAGTGTATATAATAACAAGGGCAATATTTCAATCCCATTTATTCACTTTCTATTTCCAGCAAAAGAAATGTATTTGGAAAATGAAGGGCTGCCTATCTACTGATCTTGGCATTCACCAGGACCATACTATGATTTATACTGAGAATTCCAAGCCTTTATCTAATCTTATAAATAAATGTAAAATGCATAAAACAGTTATCCTAGAATAAAATTGAATTTTATCTCTCTGTAATCAGCTTTTGTCTAGGCTACACATTTTTATATTTGAATACAATTCAAAATTAATAACAGCTATAATTTATGTTCTTACTTTTCATTATCTTGACATTTCAACAATCATTTTTATATACATAGACTTTACTTTATCTAGGGCTTAAACCCCACAGTTGATTTTTTAGCTACGTACAATATACTCTTCCAGAATAGTTGTTCAAGCAATAAGCGTGTTGAAATATATTTCCAATCTAACAAATCAAGAAATAAAAGGACTTAATTGTAAAGAAAAAAAATCAGACTGAAGAATTTGTAGTGCTGCACGCTAATGATCCAAATACTGTGTGCCCACAGCAAACTTGAATTAAAGACAGAGAAACTGGCTTTGACTGATTTCCTTGCTTTTAGAAGTTTCCCTAATTAGGAACATAAGATTGGGAAGTGCTAATAATTTAATAATGATATTTTGCTCTTATAAGTAGATCTCAAAGTGCTTTACAAAGGGAAGTCAGTATCGTGCTTCTCCATTGTACAGATGGAAAAGTTAAGGCATATACTGGGGCAATAACTTGCCCAAGTCGCAGTTACTGAGGCAATAACTCTGCAGGCAAGTGGCAGTGCCAGAAATGTAG